TATATCGGTATTAAACGCAGTTAATTGCTGAGGGGTACTAAATACGTCGTTATCGTCTACATATGGCGCTATAAAACGGCGAATTTCAATTATTTATAGATTCAACAATGAAAATCAAAAAGTCCATTATTGGCAGACGTGAAAATAAATATCTTACTTATAACGGTTATTTTTTCTCTGATGGACCATTTAGAAAAAGACTAAAATTTATTATCCTAGAAATGTTGAAAGGTGAAAGATGTATGAGGTTTACGTGGTGAACCGCTTTTAGCTTTTGATGCCCGTTTGGACATAAGTGATATATGACCAGTGACAGCATTATATTTAGTCTACTCGCAATAAAAATACAAGGAAATTCCTTCATTAATACCAACCCAGACATTACGCAATCCTGTTAAAAATAGCAGGGTATTACAGCACCCAGGAAAAATGAATAACATCACGCTCTTCAAGTTTTATACTCGGTTTCGTATAACGCCACGTTTACGTCAACCTTGGGGACGGTTATTCGGTGTCTCGTTTCAATTCCGCCTCTCTACCCGAAAACATTCGACGATGAATAAAGCTGTCGTGCACAAACTGGCTTTTGCCCGTTTCACATAACGTTTTTTTTTTTCCATATGATTTCATGTGTCATTAAAACGTGCACTTTTAGTGCCATGATTAAGGACCTTGATGGGAAGAGTCGGCGCTTTATTTTTTCGTTTAGGAATTATAGAGTTTGAATTTGAAGTTTGTCAGTGAAGATTTTCACTATAGGGCTTTTCCCAAGATCACTCTCAACCTTCAGCGAAGAGATAATAGTTTTTTCAAGTTTGCCATAAGTGTGATCAACCAAACCATTTTGCGAGACACTGCACTTCTGGTATAGTTAGATGTTTTTCATGTAAAAAGTTGGTGTTACAAAAAGAATTTGTCCTGACTATTGAAACTCTTCGGGAAACTTCCAGAGAAGTCAGTCTTAGGTCGTACATTGCCTTCTTTATCTCAATCGACCAAGGTTAATCTTATAAAGAAAAAATTGTTTTTTCTACAAACGTGTTAAAAATGCAATTTTTAACACCCCCCCGAAGCATTAAAAATGTTACTTTATCGCACTAGTGCCATAAAGTCTTTATAGCACTAGTGTTAAAAGTGAAACATCAAATTTTGAGAGCGAACGTCAAAAAAAGTTTGTATTTTTAATTATTCACATTGATATTAATGGTGAAATTTGAACAACCGAGGTAGCCCGATTGGCCGCCTCATCTATATTTTTCAAGGGATCGATGAAATCTTCTTTTTCTTCTGTATTTTGTTGCATTTTAAGCAAAAGGCATTACTGACCACGACAGACTTTCGAGAAACTGACAAGACATTTCATTACCTGTCAAACAAGGTGCTGGTTGTTTGGACTTTTTGACGTGTTTTTGACAAATGTCAAATTCAATGATTTTATGTAGGAAAGATGCTTCCAATTTATTATTAATTTAAAAATCCTTTTTGTTACTGGTTATTGCTTTTTTCTACGACCGTGCGATTTTGCCCACCTGACTGGTTTGTGATTGCTGCAGAAATAGACCTAATAATATCACCAGTTTATTAAAGAATCAGTACCTTACCTACATAATTGTCGTCGGCAATTAATTTACAAAATGCATCCAGTTGCTTTTTCACTTTTATTTAAATGTTTGCAATATGTTCAATGAAAAACCGTACATTTTCTTTGTGCCTATTATGCTACGGTCGTAGAAAAAATTTTGATCCTAACTCATGCATAAAGTATCTTTCCCGCACTTGACTGCTTGCCCGAACTCCGCTACGCGTCGTTCGGATCAACGGCAGTCGCGTGCGGGAAAGTATAACTTTCTGCACTTGTTAGGATAATAACTATTTATTGCCGTTTGTAGAAAAAATATTGTATCATATTTGTGTTAAAAGTATTTTTAAGGCACTTATGTGTGCGTGTACTTATGTGTATGCGTGCCCCAAAAATGTACTTTTAACACTTATATCATAAATAACTATTAGACCATATTTTGTCTCATGTAGGTCCTGCCCTTACCTTAAGGTTAGTATTTTGGGACAAAACTTGTTTGGATTGTTGGATTCGGCTGCCAATAAGTTTTTTCTGGGTTCTGTTGGATGGCAAAAGATAAAAAATTTAGGACTTAGATTAGACCAAAATAGAAAAACCTTGTGTAGAGTAGCTTCTAATAATACCTGCAAATGCATTGGTGTGGTTTCAGCTCCTATTAAAATAAGGGACTTTGTTAAATTGTTTGAAATATTTGTAGTCCCTAAGATTCGTCATGAGATTATTCTTGGCATTGATTTCTGGCGTACCATGGGTATCGTCCCCGACATGCGTCGTGGAGAATGGTTTTTCTCAGCTGAAATTTCAAGCGTTCCTCAGGTTAATCACATTCATAGTGAGGAAGATCTAACTTAAGTTCAGAAAATACAATTGAATGAAGTTATTTCTGAGTACTTTAACAAAATTGGTGATAGATTAGGATGTACTACTGCGGTGAAGCACACAATAATCACATCTATACCTTTACAACTTCAAATTGAGACTTATCACAATCAAATTGAGATTAACACAATCAAATTGAGACTTAAAACAATCAAATTGAGAACAATCAATTTCAAATTGGTACAACATCCGTTTCCATGTAATTGAACGTTGTACCAATTTGAAATTGATTTTTCTCAATTTGATTTTGTTTAATATCAATTTGAAAATGTTTGTTCTCAATTTGATTGTGATAAGTCTCAATTTGAAGTTGTAAAGGTATAGTCCATCCATCAAGCAAAGAAATTACCCGGTGTCCCTGTTTAAACAAAAACTGATTGATGAACAGTTGGATGAGATGTTGAAAGATGGGATTGTCGAGCCGTCTAGGTCAGCTTGGTCTTTGCCACTACTTTTAGTACCTAAGCCGAATAGAGAACAACGCTTTTGCGTTGATTTTAGGAAGCTCAATATTGTGTCAGAACATGACGCTTTTTCGCTTCCCTATATTTCTACGATATTAGATAAATTAGGTGGTGCTAGATATATGTCCTCATTAGATCTCAAAAGTGCTTATGGCAAGTGGCACTGGAAGAGGAAAGTAAGCAATATACTGCTTTCACCTTTCACCGTCCCTGGTCGTGGCCTGTTTCAATTCACTCGTCTTCCTTTTGGTCTCCATAATGCGCCAGCAACTTTTCAACGTCTGATTGATACCATTCTGGGTCCCGAATTAGATAAATATGTATTTTGTTACCTACAGTGTGTCCCGCTTAAGGACCGACCACCCTTCTAAATTTTTTATTTTTCAACCGATTAAATTAATATTTTTTTTTGTCTTATATCTACTCGAAGTACTAAGTACTATTATGCCGGTTTTCCACCAAACGGACTGTTGAGTTTTTGTTTTAAAACATATTTTAAAACCCGAAAAACAAAATTCCACCTGTCGCAAAACACGCTAGTCTTGAGAATGTTTAGGAAAAGTTGGAGTTTTGTCTGAGTTTAAGTTGTGTTTTTGTTTTGTCGGTTTGGTGGAAAACCGGCATTAGGGATTTTTTAGAAAAAATCTGATAGCAGATTCTTGTTTAGAATGATCTAAAACCCAAATGTACTAATTTTTGTTCCAATACGATACAGGGTGATGACTACAAATTTTCACAATTTAATGAATCGTGAGATGATGGTCTGATGAGTATCTCTTCCGGAATCCAGCCTGCTGAGCGTAGTTCAGATGTTGGGTGATGCTGACAAATAATACTTTGTATACTTGAGACTACAAAGATAGTGATCGATAGTTCTTCATCGGTACTCCCCTCCCCTTTTTTGAAAACCAGTACATCTAAGCTTGAATGTGGGTATCTATAACTGAGTTTTGTGGAAGCATCTCATCGAGAAGAATTCCATTATAACCTCTTCACTTTCCTTTAGCATTTTGATTAAAATTTCATCTGTGTTGACTTTTACCGAGACTTTTACAATGAAAGAGACGTCACGATCTCGGACTGCACATAGTCAACTTTAGTACAAAAGAAACTGTTTTTCTCAGTATCAAATTCCTAAGAGCTAGTTTTGGATTTTTGTCCAAAGAATTCTCGTCTACCAATCAAAAGACCTAATTTTCAGCCAAAAAAAAAAAGAAACAATGGAGCGAAAACAAAAACGCGTTTAGCATTTTTTTCGCAGAAACAAACCGTTTTCATCGGTGTTTTTTCAGTTTTCGTTCGGCGGGACATCATCAATTGCTGAAATTGGGTTGAAACGAACGGGAGACAAAGTGACAGAAAATTGATTATAGTTTTTTGTTTACCGAATACTGCTTTCGATGTTTTAACTTGTTATGGTCGATGAAAAAATTCTATTTCGCTAAATTCTCTTTTCGCCTTTCATGGTGTTTTTTTATTTACTTAATTCAAGCCAAAGAACTTATGGATTAAAAAGACTGATGCATAGGAGACAGAATACAATTAACACAAAACCAACAGAATGCATAATAGGAGTAGATATATGCGGTTGATGAAAGTGAGAGAAGAACTATACTTTCCAGTAGGGCACGATACTAAAAAACAAATTAAACTCCATTTAGTAGAAATCTGTTAATATAGCATTCCTACAAAATGAGGGCAATTGAATATTTAGCTGCGCTGATTTGTAAATACGAATTATACTATGTTTCCTTTTCGTTAATAGCACAGAATTTCACAAGTCATAAATTTGAACACACAAAAGAAAGGGTGAGGTGAGCACTACCAGTAGGTGTAGGTATGTATAATACATATAAATATAATAGAACCATTAAGCAGGTAGTGCTCTGTGCTCTTAACGAAAAGGAAACAGAGTATAAATTGTTATAATTATTATATTGGTGTTTTGATAATACCTATTCAGTCAACTTGAAGTTTTAAAAAAAGGTACAATCTCCGTTCTATAGAAGAATTTGTACACATATTATAAGAATAAGAATATGAAATTGAAATGAAATTATATTTTGTTCTTGTTCCAGATCGAACCCCCTCGCTCCGGGGTGGCCATTCGCCATGCTCGGCAGCCCTGCTGGGCCGGGGGTACCCTCTCAGAGGGGACTTTGGCCCCTGGCCCCGGCACCAGCACCATCGGCAACTAGTTTCACCGCTGACGGTAAGTAACCGTTATTTCTAACACTATAGGCAATTTATCTATTAAAAATAATTATTGGATAGTTAATTCGAATGAAGTATTAATTATTGCTTTTTGAAAAAAATTACTGATGCGGGTGTTAATGACTATATTTATAGGGGAGTCATGTTTGGCGTACTTGCAATATAGTGGAATCGATTTTTAAAAAAATGTGATTCGAAAATTGGCTGAAATGTCTGCCTCAGACCAATGTCTCACTCGCAGTCCCAATGTCTCACTCTCAGTCGAAATTTTAATCTATCAAGATCCACATTGTAAAGTTTCCTTTATTTGATTTTTCTTCAAAGTTTTTTGAATTTGAAATAAATTATGATCATTATACACTATACAGGGTGTTTTCTAAATGAATGTCAGTATTTAAGGATACAATTGTGTCGATTTCAAGGAGAAACCCGTATATCCTAAGCCTCTCAACTTTTGAAATAGGTACAGTTGTGTAACACCACTTCCGGGTTGCGTTTAGAAATAGCGATACTCTGATAGTGAACCTAGAGTAACTCTAAACCGTTCATAAATTACCAGGAGCTTACTCGGAGGGTTACGCTGGAATCGTTCAGAAATCGAGAATTGACAGTACGCCCCAAGCCGTTTTTTCGCGGGGCGAATAGTTCAAACCACGGTTTGAACCAACTTGTAAATGACGTGATCACTGGTGAACGCCAAGAAATAGAAGGTTTGAACACAATTTTATGTCATCAGAGAACAAGCCAAGAGTCGTTCGAACTTTTTCGAACCAGGTTCAATGTGAAGTCACTGATTCAACGCAAGAGTGTACAGGTTCAAACCTATTTGAACCGGATCGAACCAACTCCACCGTGAGAAAATAGCTCAAATCTGTTCTAAAAATTTTTCAAAAATCCGAACTCGTTTACTGTCAAATGAAAACCTGAACTAGATCACAATAAAAAAAAAAACTTGTTCCATTTTTTATTCGTAATTCAATTAGAAACAGTTCGAAACTATTTAAAGTTCAACTAAAATCAGTTCCAAAACGTTTCTTTGTGTTCTAAAGACCTGTTCCGAATTAGTTCACAAACAAAAAATCTTAATATAAGTGCTCTGAAACACAGCGAGTTTACTCTTTTTTATTCACAATTCATTTAGAACTGGTTCTAGATGGACTCTGAACTAATTCTAATTTGGAATAGTTTGTTCAGACTCAGTTTAGAATTAGTTCTGAATTGAAGTGCGCTTACCTATTTGTTCATATCGAACATACATATTACGCAGTTCAATTCAAAACTGATTCTGAACAAATTCAATATTGTTGCGTTGTTCCGAACACATTGAATTGTTTGCAGTTCATCTAGAACCGGTTCCAGATAATTTTTGAACCGGTTCTCAGAGTTTCAAGTAGTTGGATTGCTGTTCCGAACTAGAGAAAATCATGAACTGGTTTATTATTATATGCATAATTTTATGATGCACAATTAATGTTCTTAAACCCATTAAACTTACTATAATACAATTGATTCCAGATCATTTCTGAACTGGTTTTTAGAGTTCCGAGTAGTTCGATTGTTGTTCTGAACTAAAAAAAATACGAACTAAATTAGTGAGTTCTCGTGCCGTCCAAATTTCAAATACCGTAACGCTATTTGACAAGTATGACAGTTCTTACGGTATTAGCGTTAACGGATCCCGCTATCTAACGGAACTTACCGGATGCCTTACCGTAACGCTATGCTATGTCAAAACCAGTTTACGCTCTATTTGTGTCTGCAAAAACAGAAACTTCTAATAATTTTTCCATAAAAAGCACCAAGGGAAAATTAATCAAGCTTAGGAATCTTCAGAATAAACAAAAGTTAGGAAACAAGCAAAAAAGTGGGGTTAGATTACTCAACTCACTGTCAAAATGTAAACAGAATAAGGGATTAGAGCATTTATGTGTCTTCGGGCCCGAGAACTAAGTATAAATTACCATGTGAAATACCGTATTGTTAGCGGTAAACCGTATTAGCGTAGCGTCTGACGTACGAGAACTTTCTATTAGGCAATTCAATCCATCTGTCAAAACGAAAAATTCAATATGGCGTGGCGGCCAGCAAGTTTGTTTTAAATATGTGTTTTTATGAATATTGTAAATATTTTGCTTCGAGCATTGCTTGCAGCTTTGATTTTGATTATTCAATAAAATATTTGCTTACTAGGTACGTAAAATATCAAGTCGGGCAGAAACTAGATTTTTTTTTGTGTTTTTTGGACCATGTGTGGCCGCCACGCCATCTTGAATGAATTAGTGTCCTGGATCACATTAACAATTCATTTAGAACCGGTTCCAGATTATTTCAGAATTGATTATTAGAGTTCTGACTGCTACAATTGCTTCTTGAACTGGTTCACAATCGATCAATCTTTAATTTGTGTTCCAGATCATTGTTCGCGCAACTAGAATCAGTTCTAAGTCGGTTTTAGTTGTTCTTAAGCCCAAAAACCTGTTCCGAACTCGTTTGCCTTTATACTCTTCAATATTCGAACTCACTTTATTTACTTTAAAGGAGTAAAAAAATACAATCTTGGACGATTTGCTTACTCAGAGCACTCCAAATATGGCAAATAGAGTAACTATATTCATGTTTGGGCGGGTTTTATAAAACTGCTTTGACAGTTAACTTGAAGTTAACTTTTTAAATTACGTGTAATATCAGATTTATAATACCCGCCCTTCGGGCGGGTATTATAAAACTGCTTTAACAGTTAACTTGAAGTTAACTTTTTGAATTACATGTAATTCCAGAAGTTAACTTTAAGTTAACTCTCAAAGTAGTTTTATAATACCCGCCCTAAGGGCGAGTTCTCATGAGCGTAAGTTGACATTTCTGGCGTAATCACGTGATAAAATGGTTGGGTTTTATTGGTAAAATATTCGCCATGCTGGATATTTTACCAATCAAATTACGCCATATTATCACGTGATTACGCCAGAAATGTCAACATACGCTCATGAGAACTCGCCCTAATTTCGAACATAAAAAAAAACCTACACTGGATCCAGAATTGGTGTTCCAGAGAGGCAACAATAAACAGAATTTGAGTAAAAAATGTCGATTGGAACGAAATCTCCTCTGTAAAGTACGCAAACATAACCTACAAAATCAGAAAATGCCGATAATACAGGCACCTGCAACGATAAATAGAATTCTATTTTGGTAAAGTCATTTTTAAAATAAAATTCTATCAATCAAAGGCGTTTTTTCGCGTGGCGAATGGTTCAAACTACGGTTTAAACCAATTTGTAGATGACGTCATTACTGGTGAACGCGAATAAATGGAAGGTTTGCACACAGTCTTATGTCAACGGAGAATAAGCCAAAGAATACGGCTCGAACTTTTTTGAACCAGGTTCAATGTGACAATTTTTAATTTATTTTATTCCGACACTGGTTCAACGCAAGAATGTGCAGGTTCGAACCAAATTGAACCGGATCGAACCAGTTCCACCGCGAGAAAACAGCTCAAATTACCCCACTCAGGGACTGGGTTGAAAAACGCCCCGGGCTGCGTTCAGGAATGGCTATAGCCAAGCCAAAATTGGCATTTTGCGTTCGAGTTCGGCTCCAACCTACGTGTTCGGCATTACAGGTGGAGGGGGAAAAGTCGGTTTTGGCATTAGGATTGCCGTCCTTGAACGTACCCCCGTGGTTTTTACCAAGTTTGACGTTGACATTTACCACAACGCCCCAATACGTTCAGAAATAGCGCACCCAGAGTGCACTCCAAGTGATGATGTCAGAACACTCTGACAAATAACTACTCTACCCTCACAATCCATTTCTAAACACACTCCTGATGTTTCTCAACCAGTCGCGCTCATCGTACGGAATTTGACCTGCCTATTCTCGCAGATATTGATGGTATGCCTATGATTTTTCAAAATAGAAAATATTCTTGAAATCTCGAATCATTTATAAGCAAAATTGATCACTTGATTTTTACATTTACATTTTCATAGGCTGCTTGTTCTTCATCTTTCTTCGATAGACACGATTGAAAAAAGACAAATAACATCAGCTGGTGACAGTGGCGGCCCAATTACCGACTCTTGATCGGCTCCAGAAAAGTTTTCCAGATAATCAAGAGCCGGTAATAGTTCAAATTTTGATTATCTGTGGCTCTTGATCCATTGGATAATTTTTCTTGAGCCAATTAGAGCTGCAGAAGAAGAAATTTCGATTGATATCGAGTTAACAGCTGCTAATGATCATTCGCAATTTTGATTATTATCGGCTCTTGAGCTTTGAATGCCGTTAGAGAAATTCTCTAGGGAATCCAGAGTTGATAAGTAAAGATGCAGCAAAAGAATGAGCACAAAATCATCCATTTTCCCATGTAAATCTTCATAAGAAAATCCAAGGTCCAAATTGCGGCTTTTTCGACCATTTCCAGGTAGTCCGCGCCAACGTTCAATAACAGCTCAACAACAACTCCAAGACATCTCAACAACATCTCCAAGACAACAACAACAACATCTCAACAACACCTCAGAGGCAACTTGAAGACAACTTCAAAATTGCTTTAACATGCTCACCTGCATCAACTATTGTTGTTGTTGTTGAGATGTCTTTAAGATGTCTTGAAGTTGTCTTTGAAGTGTTGTTGAGATGTCTTGGAGATATTGTTGTTGTCTTGGAGAGGTTGTTGAGAAGTCTTGGAGTTGTCTTTGAGGTGTTGTTGAGATGTTTTGGAGATGTTATTGTAGTCTTTGAGATGTCTTGGAGCTGTCTTTGAGGTGTTGTTGAGATATCTTGGAGTTCTTGTTGAGCTGTTATTGAACGTGGGCGGGGCTACCTGGTCGAAAAAGCCGCAATTTGGACCATAGATTTTCTTATGGAGATTTACATGGGAAAATGGATGATTTTGTGCTCGTTCTCTTGCTGCACCTTTACTTTGATAGAAGTTCAAATTTTGACTATTACCGGCTCTTGATTGGCTACAGGAGAGTTTTTCAAAGAATCAAGAGCCGGCAATAGTTTAAATTTTGGAGTCTTGACTGCCCTTAGAACAATTCTCTAGGGAATACAGAGTTGATACAAGTTCAAATTTTGACTATTACCGGCACTTGATTGGCTCCAGGAAAGTTTTCCAGGGAATCAAGAGCCGGTCATAGTTCAAATTTTGATTATCTATAGCTCCTTTATCCATTGGATAATTTTTTTGGAGCATCTAAATACCAAATATCCATAATGGATGCTGTGCTATGTCTGATAGACAAAATAGATCATGCAGTTTATGCTGACATGGAATTTCTCAAGTAATTTTTCAATATTTTCAATTTACTAAATGACCTTTCAGCGGTGGCAAACTCCACTGGTTGGTGATAGCGTGAATTGGATCAACTTTACCGATTTTATTTTTTTAGCTGGAACCTCGGTTTGTAAAAAATCATGTAATCAAATTTGCTAAGAAATGATTGGGCATTCCAAAAAAAAAAAATGTAGAGATATCATTGGCGGGATATCTATGTCTGCGAATGTATCACCCTGTATCTCAAAAGTTACCACGTTTAGAACATAGGTACGTTCATCTGGACTTATATATTGAAATTTCTGTGCCTTTCTCCTTCTTTAACAAAAGTGATTTTGAATATTTGGGAGTCAAGATCTCTTGTGCGTTGACAAAATGTATTATTTCAAGCAGAAGATGAGTTCAGTGGAATAAACTCATTACAATACTAGTGCAATAATGCATATATCATGTTCCAAGCTTCTTCTCATGAATCAGTATATTCGTCCCCAAATCAACAAAAACCCCACAAGAAAAATTTATGCACATCCTCAGCTAATTTGTTACAAAAGGCACCCCACGACCACACCACACCATCAGATCCTAATCATACAAACTTTATGTACCCTCCTGAAACCCATATTTTTCGTCAACTCGAGCCTAACCTTGAAAGGAGTTTCTTGTAGACTGTAAAATATGCCGTTTCGCATCTGTCACTACCAAGTCAATACGTTAAGTTATTCAACAGAAAGCTCCGAGGTTCGGTTTATATACAAAATGCGACTTTGTTCTACTCGACGACGATCAATTAACTTCACGTATCTGTCACCGGGTGGAGTATTTTAATGAGTGCAGGATAAAATTATACTGTACGTACATCGAGTGAAGAGATGTGTTTATGAAATTTATTATTGAGTTTATAATATGTACGATTAGGCACCTAAAAGCGTGGATGAAAAAGCGTTTATAAGCTGAAGGCACCCGCATTGAAATTTAATGAAGATGTACAGTTGATATTATAATGGGTTCGTTAAAATCTCGTAATGTCTAGTCTAGTAGGAAGGAAGAAATAAATCGCTTATATATAGAATTCAATATGTAATGGTCATCTTCTAGTCTCAGTTTCATGGATCACTTGAGAAAAGACTCAGCAAAGGCCAGAAATTAACATTGTTATAATAGTCTTCTTTGTGTTTTGTACTTGTTATGCATTTATTCTTCTTGTTCCTCTAGTTCTAGTGACATGCAGAGCACATATTAGGTATAATGAATCGAATTTTAGATTTTCTTCTATAAGGGCTTGTTTAGACTAGATGGAATACAGTATTATAATACAAAATAGACGTGTCGCCACTAAATTGGTTAGTGTAGTGTATGTAACGACAGAATCATTAGCAAAAGCAATATTTTCCGAAATAAGTTCTAGAGACTTTATAAAGGAGATAACCAGTGTTGCAGAATTCGAAGATTGTGTTTATGAAGTTAGTACCTACAACTGAAATGTTCCTTTCATAGCAGATACTATTAAACATCGCGATTCTTTAAACATTTTCCCAGACGACAAGACTATCGAAGAATATAGAACATAGGTAGAAAATTATCTTTTTAAGCATCAGAATTTGAAATTATTGGCTCAGGCTGAGGCAAAATATATGTTCCAAGGGAACTGGAAAGTTTTGGAGAAATTTTCTTATCTTGGCAAACATGTCTTTTTACTTTGAACTTTACTAACTAACTCTCAGATGCTATAGCATTGTTAGAACTTCGAATAATTCTTGTTTCTTAGGATCGGATTATCATCAGTGGAACGTTTAACTGTCGATTATCTAATAATTATTGTTAGTTAACCGTCAACTAGACTCAATAAATAAACGATTACAATAATGATATTCTGAAAGAAAATAGCAAGTGGCAGATTGAATTCCTTATTAAATAATTAAACTTTAAAGTTCCTAACACCTTGGAATTGAAATCCGCACACTTTCAGTTATTAAATTCGCCCGACTTTGCAATAAACTCCGACTACCATGCCATTTAAAGACCATAACCTAAACAATTTATGTAATATTAACAAACTTGCACTTAAAGACATCAAAGCGAACAAACTAAATGGTTTTATTACCGACATAAAAGTAAAGTATAAAAGCGCCACTTTAAAACTATTTTCATGACAAAAATAGTAAAAATGTCTTTTGGCTTAGAACCACAATCAACATCATTAGTTTGAAAATGAATAAACTCAATTAACATTTCTTTCTTCTTTCAGGTATCAGTAAATATGGTGTTTACTCGCTCTTCCCCGGAGGACCGACCTTCGGTAGTGCGCTTTACTCGCACGCAAGCACAATCGGACGTTTCGCCTCCGGCCACATACAACAATCATCAGGGAATACGTTTCATACCGCTCACAAAGGTAATTTTAATTCTTATATTATGCGGATGATGGGTGCGTTTAAGCCTGAAATTATTGGGTTCTTTGGATTTAGATTTTACCAAAAAAAAAATGTTTTATTCCTCAATATGCTTTATACATTAAAGCGGGAGCAAGCAATGCACCTGAGGCCACTATTGCGTGCTGGCTTTTTTATATTGATGAATATGTCATAAATGTGGCTTAGGTGTAATGAATAAAAAATGTCTGGCCTACAATTACAGAACGGCATATGCTGGTGCCCTAGAAAGGGTTAATGATTATCTTTAAAGTTGTTTGTGCAAAATGTTGCCATAAGTCTCTAAATACAGCCCTATTTGAAATTCAATCGATTTAAAGACCAAATCTACATCCCTGCATTGCACCGCCATCTACAGGCCTGACTGTCGTTATGTATGCAAACCAACAAACTATACAGGGTGAGTCGAAAGGAACGCGCCAAAGGAGGTTTTACCTAAGTATAATAATATCGAAAACCTCAAATGGTATCATCCGAATTTTATTTGTTTTTCAGTAATAGCGACATAAACATTGTCAGTTCAACTTTACATAGAATAAAAAATGGTTGATTATATTAGTTGTGTCACGTTAAATATAGTATAGTAAATTAATAATCATTGGTACCTACAGTATACCCATTGTAATAATGGTAATAATTAAGGCGGTAAAACAAGCTTGGAAATATACCAAGTTAGATATAGGAATTCCTCTGAGGGAATTCCTATTAATAATAATTTAAAAAAAATAATAATATTTAAGAAACGTTAATAAATCAACCGGTACATCACCCCCTTGTGGTCCTCCCTGCAGTCTAAACATGCATTTAGATTACTGTCTCATGACAGCCTCACAGCCTGGATAACAGACCCCATCAACTTCTTTTGACTTTCCTTCTTAAATAGGGTAAATTATAGTTTCAATTCAGTGTTGTGGGTACTCTGACACCTCACCTTCGGAACGTTAGTAAAACGTCGAAAGGAAAAAACCCATTGGTAAAGTAAAATCCAAAAACCCTAGTTACAATTCCGGCTTCTAGTTGAACAAAACGTGCTCTTTGCTCGCACGACAACTCAACAAAATGGCGTAGACTTTCGTCTCCAGAAAATTCTGAGTGGTTGGCTTACAAATACGGGGATTTACGACCAAATCCAAATTTTCACCCCAAAACCAATTAAGCCAGCTACCACTTGAGTTCCCAACGGCTCTAAAATCCCACAAAAGGTGGATGTTCCAAGGAACGCAGCAAAGAGGACCGCTGGTAAAATCTGCCAATTTTTTGCTTGCTCAACGTGCGAATTTGAAGAGAACGCCCCTTTTTCGGTAATTTACCAAGTGAGCTCATATGAAAAATTTCCCAGAATTCTATTTTTTCCAAAATGCCCTCTGGTACCAGATTTCCGGTCTTGACCAGGAAAACGAAACAATCAGCTTGAAACGACAAACCCAATCCACATCGATCACAAACAAAACTCAAAATTGTTATTCAATTTTCTCTCCTAACACTAATTAATTAATTAATAATCATCATCTACCCGTTTTTTAGTCTAAAAACTATCAAAATAACCACTTGTTTCGAGATAGCAACGTTTTAACGTTATAGCAACAATGGTTAAGAAACCTCGGCAACAGCGCTTCCTGCAAAGGATCAACAAGTGTCCCATAACCGCACTTATTCGGGGAAAATAAATAACCGGAAAAATGCAAATATTAGTGCAAATAAGGATGAAAAAGCGATTTAAAGGGTGTGAAAGTGATTTGTGGTGTTGCAGAATTTTTAATAATGGAAAATACGAGACTCGTAAGTGTTGCCAAATGATATTTATTTAGGGTGACCATACGTACAGCATTTCGCTGTATTGTACAGCATTTTGAAAGTCTATCCAGCATTTTATTTTGTACAGCAAACGTACAGCGAAAGTCTATGCTAACGCCGCATCTCTAGATTTTCGATTTACGTCATTTACGCGATCATCCAGAGTATCAAGCCTGGTACTCATAACAGCAAAATTCACTCTTTTTTGAAATTACTTCGACAATTTGACGTTTTATGCGTGAATCAAACCTCAAATTGTCGAAGAAATGTCAAAAAAGTGCGAATTTCGCGGTGTTGAGTACTAGGCTTTACTCTTCTTAATGCTAACTACCTTTTTTATCCCTTTCTATTCTACACCGCTGAAAACTCTAGAAAAAAGATAAAATATTAGCGGTTCAGGATACATTCACAAACATGTGGCTAAACGCCTTCCGCCTTCTATTCTCAAAGTTCTACTCCGATTTTGTTTGGTCTGGCAGGTGGCCAAATTGCCTGTCATTGATAGGACAATCAGGATCCGGGCTTTGACACGGACTCAGAGATCACGACAAGTAGAATTGTACTAGAACTCTACTTTCATGACGTCAAATTGTCTAGTAGCCGTCATGATGGCCTGTATTGTACGCAATAAATGGGTCGCGGGTGACGTCATGAAAGTAGAATTCTACTTGTTGTGATCCCAGCCCAGGAACGATTTTGCAGGTTGAACTTTGTGACTTTGGCGTTAGTTTTGGTACTGCAATGTGTCTTTTTTTTTCTTCCTCCACTCACCTTTCCCAAAATTTTAAATGTGTACAGCATTCATACAAAAAAAATATGGTCACCCTATATTTATTTGGAAGTAAACAAACATTTCCATCAACAGTTAGGGCTTTTTAGACAACTTTCGTAAGCTAAATAAAATATATTTCGATCCTATTAGTAGGGCTTTATTATCCTAGAACCCTGTCATCTGAATATAAAGAATTAACTCAGTATTCCCCCGGAAAATATACCCTTGTTCAACACTCACATATTGTTTCGCATTCGAACAAATGCCAGAAAACTAGTAAAATCCAATGAGAAACCTATCAATCACCGAAAAATATTTATCCTCAGGTATAAAGCTTCATAAATACCCTCACAAATACCTGAATTAATTACTAAATTTATTCGAAATCTTCAGTCGCGTACTAAAGCAAAATTTGTACGTAACAGTTGGCCCCAAAGATCTTCAGACCTTACACCATTGGACTATGATGGTGATGCCGAGGGGGGGCTCATGGTATATGGTTTAATTTGGGGTTGAAATACTCAAATGTAAATCTATTTCTTTATTTGAATTCTAAGTAGTAAGAGCACTTTGGCCATACGAAAGCTTGATGAGAAGTTTAATTAGGGTACGTGGACTGAATGCTCCAAGAATTTTTTTAATTTACCGAATTCTCTATAAAAACCCAAATATAAACATTCGTAATACCTACCTTGAAAAAATAAGTGCTCTGGTATGGGAATAGAAGTGGGAGAACATTACTTGTCCACACTATTCTATGGAGACGACGAAGTAATAGCTAGCTGTGAAGAGGACCTGGATTACATGCATAGAAAAATTAAGGACGAATATGAATACTGGGGAATGAAAATAAACCGAAGTTAGACAGAACATCTTTGTATTGGAGATGTTAATAAAGTCAATAAGGACCCGGATCTTAGCTTAAGAGATCTGAGTTGAGGAGTATACATACTTGGGAGGCTTAGTATCAACAGAGGGAACATCAGAGAGAGATATAAATAACAAAGTAACACATGGTGAAAAAAAAAGCTTGTGCAGCGCCGTACACGTGGTAGAAGTGAAACTTCTACTATCGCCCGCCTCATATACCCTTTAAACTTAGCATATGAGTCGGGGTAAAGACGAAGGACCACACAAAATGAAGACGCGCAATGCGCATCTGTAGTGACGACATAAGGGATGGGGGATGCTTGACAATAATAGGCAATCCTCTTTGCTTATAAGCCTTGGTTTGTGTCAATCGTTTGTCGGCTGTAATTGTCATTGGCTGTCTTTCTCCGTCTTTCTACGTTATATCTTTCTTCTCTTTCGTTTAACGAAATTTGCCAAAATGTCACGGGTCTTGCAATTCAGTTTCCAGTCTCGTCTAAATAGATCTAAGAAGTTTCACTTCAAAATGCACAGGACACAAATAAATAACGAAAACAATGATAAAAGCACAGATAAAAGTTTAACAAAAGGGAGGCACGTACCTGTAGTGACGTCACAAGGGTATTGGGGCTTGACAATAATAGGCAATTCTCTTTGCGCTTCTAATCCTTGATTTGTGGCCATCAATGACTGTAATATCCGGGTCTTCCAACTCTGCTGTCACTATTGCACTTTCCAAAAATACAATATTTGTGTGCCCCATCCTCGGCCCCATCGCTTTTACTCATTTTTAAACAGGTTTTTCCCAATGTTTCCCCATGCAAAAACGTGTAACATGGATCGTAAAACAATAATCAGCTGATTGAAATGACAGTGAAATTGTGCGATGTTGCCGACTTGTACAAATTGAAACGCGTTAGGTTAAAAAAAAAAAAACTTTACAAAATGACCATCAACATATCTTTTTAATAAATAGCTTGAGTCTCTGACTGCGTCAAATATAAGGTTAATTAATAATAAAGAATTTGAATCTCAGTTCTAATGAAATCGAAATTATTCATGATTCTTTCCTGTATAACGTGATGGAGATCGATACTTGGCAACAATGTTTTGCGCATGCATAACGGAATTATTCTAATTTCAAAAGGTCTATAGCAAGGCACCCCCGGGTTAATCATAACTCCAGGGTAAACATTGCAACATTGCAACTGGAGTTAAAACCAATCCGGAGGTGACTCGCAATTGAGAAACCGGCCCTAATATAATTTTTTGACTACTTACCTGAGAAAAAGTTATTCAATCTATTTTTCTCGGAAAAAATTAAATTTCTCTCCCTAGGTTAATAATAATGAAAATGACGTCATGACGCAAGGATATTGTCATGACGTACCAGGTTTCTATAGGGCGATTTGATGTTTGACGTACAAGATGGCGCCGCGGCATAATTAACAAACTTGCCAGATACCCAGGTATTTTGGTAAATAAATATTCGATGTCACTCAGTTTTATCTACGAACATTAAAAGAA